GAAGTGTGACCCACACCTGGCTCAAAATGCAAAGACACAACCTGAGAAAATTTTCTCGTACATGAACTTCAGGAATAAAACATCCAATGGTGTCCCAAACCTGACTATTGACAATGATAGAATCGAAGAAGATCGAGAAAAAGCAGAAGCAATGGCAAGCTACTTCTCTCAAGTCTTCACTCAGGAGTCATCACTGCCTATAGCATCAGATCTGGTTGCATCAGAAGAACATGGGATAGATTCCGTTGACATTAACCAAGGCATCGTGCTCAACTGCATAATGAAACTAGATGCAGGGAAACCAATGGCTCCTGATAACCTTCATCCAAGGCTTCTCAAGGAGCTATCAGCCCACATAGCCGGCCCCTTGACCACGATCTTCAAGCTATCTATTCTAAATGGAGTATTACCGCATGACTGGAAAGACGCCATAGTAACCCCATCCACAAAGGAGGATCAATACAAAGCCCTTCAAATTACAGGCCTATCACTCTCGCCAGCACTTTAATCAAGACACTGGAAAGAATCATCAAGAAAAGCACCATGGCATATCTGAAAAACAGCAGCTTGTTATCCAGAGCACAGCACTGCTTCCTAACAAACCTCTTATGTCTGTGAAATCTCCCCACTGCAAGAGAAAGCTGGGTCAAATTGACGGACAACAGAAGACCTGCTGACGTCGTCTTCATAGACTTCAGCAAGGCCTTTGATAAAGTTCCTCACAAAAGACTACTCATGAAGTTGGAAAATCTTGGTATCAAAGGCAGATTACTAAACTGGCTCAGGGAATTCCTCATAGATAGGAGGCAGATGGTTAGGATCAATTCGAAACTCTCCTCTTGGACAGCAGTACGTAGCGGAGTGCCACAAGGCACGGTACTCGGACCTCTCCTACTTAGTTTGTATATCAATAAGTTGTCTCTGCTCACCGACTCCCCTATGGTCCTATACGCAGATGACTTAAAAATTTGGAGAAGGATGAAGGGCAACAGTGACACGTCTACGTTGCAAGAGGACCTCAACAAATTGTCAGAGTAGTCCATAGAATGGATGCTCCCGATAAATGTAGCAAAATGTGCAACCATGCGCATTGGACAAGCAAGCACAAGCTCCTACGAACTAGAGGGAATAACACTTCCATCAGTTCAGACTCACTAGGACTAAGGTGTCATAGTTAGCCACGACTTAAAAATTACAGCACACTGTCCGCGGTGGCTGTGCGTAGTTTCAGGTCCTTATGGGCTATTCGCAGAGCCTTCACTAGAATCACCAGAGATATGTTCACCTCTTTATATACATCTCTGGTGAGACCAAGACTGGAAAACTGCGTCCAGACCGCCAGTCCTTGTCTAAAAGGGGACTCATACATTCTAGAAAGGGTTCAAAGGAAGGCAACACGTATAGTTCATGGCATGACTAACTTATCATAAGAGGAAAGACTCTCTTCTCACTGTCATACCGTAGGCAGAGAGGAGATTTAATCACAATGTTTAAAATTTTAAATAATGACTACGGACCTGACCTATTCTCTCTTTTCCTTCCCACCAGGTAGGAACACCTTAGAGGACATAGCGGGAAGGTTCAAAAGCCAAGAAGAAAACATACTGCTGTTGAGTACTGGTTCTCACATCGAGTCATAAACTCTTGGAACCGACTCCCAGAAGAAGTGGTGTCTGCAACCTCAACTGATTCGTTCAAGAAGGGTTCGGACAACCACAGAAATTTACTAGAAAAGGATTAACATAGGCTCCAAGCCTTCTATCCTCAACCAATAAATCTGAATCTGAATGTTATGATTGAAATTAAAAGTGAAAAAAATATCACAAACACAGTACCACAAATGTCAGTCGTTATTTAAGTAAAGGAGACCAGAAAATGGTATTATAAACGAGGTTGAAGAATATCTGCAGAGTGTACTTTACAAGATTGATTGCACCTAGGGTTAGACTCTTAATTTTTTTAGAAATAAGTACACAAAGATGGTGCTAACCAGAGGCCACTTACAACACTGGCTGTAGTCTCTGATCGTAGTTTTGGTTAGTAATTAATCACTTGTATCCTGTATAGATAATAATCTGGGAAATAGATGTTTAGCAATTGATGTATGAGAGAAGGCTGTGAATTTCTTATGCTAAAAACTCAGATATTTAAATAAGTTAGTTCTGGTCTTATAAATGATGTGTATTATAAACAGCACTTTGACTTTAAAGTGTCAGCTGAGTTATAAAGAAACACAACTAAAAGTGATAGCATTAAGAAAACTATATACTTTTCTCACGAATAACTGATCATTTGTGCGTCTGCAATTACCAGCAGTCAGCTTTTGTTATGGCGAAAGAATATGGTGTGTCTGAAGAAGTGTATTCCTATTTCAAGCGGGTTTTCCTGTGATAAAGTACACACACTGATTTAGCATTAGCTAAGATCGAAATGACATTTCGCAAATAATTTATTACTCATCATCACAGTACTATGTGGGATTAATTTAACTGAAAGCACTTTTTCTTTAATGGCAGTAAACGCGCTTGGGATTCACTCACTATTTTCAGCTTAGACTATAGTAAAAAGAAAAAGTTGATATCTGTGCAAAACTTGGGCACTGTGCTAGTATGCAATTCCATATTAATTTGTTTATTACCAAAAATATACAGCAAAACGCATATTAAAGTCCTCTCACACCTGTCTATGAAAGCACAGCAAAGATGCTACACATCTGACAACATACTCAATCTAAGATGCATGTTAAAAAAATACTAACTGGGATTTATTCTATGAAAGTACATTAAATGACTCAATCACCAATATAACGGATTATCTTAAGTTCTGCCTTGACATATGCTGTACCAAACAAACACTATTCAAACGCCTCGACCGCTTCTCGTCTGCTCATCTCAAACAACTTCACAGGCAAAAAGAAACATTATATAAACTCAAAGATAAGTTAGGACTTAAAAAGATTAATGCTCAAATCAAATCTGAAATCAAAACTCTTAATGCTATCTATAACCAAACACTTTTATCATGCAAATCTCCTATCAGCATATGGAAACTTTTCAATGAAATTACTGGCAATAGTAAGCGATGTAATGTTTTTCCCTCTTATGATGTTAATGCTTTTAATCAGTCTTTTATACGCTCTCCTTCTACTATAAATACTTCTAACGTTACTAATCATGTAGCTGATAACTTCCAGGACTTTAACATTCTCGATGTTTTAAAATGTCTTAAAACTCTTAAGCCCTCATGTAGTCTTGGTCCTGATGGCATACCTGCATATGTTCTAAAGCAATGCGCAGATGCTTTATGTTCTCCTCTAACTAACATCCTAAATGCTTCTTTCTCCGAAAACGTTGTACCTGTTCCATGGAAAGACATTAAAATAGTCCCTGTCCCTAAACCTGGCAATAGCAAGAACGTAAAGTTCAGACCCATTGCCATCACTTCCCCGTTTCTAAAGCTTATGGAAAAACTAGTACTTCTTAAACTCAAACCTTCCCTTAAAAGCTTTGAAGACCCCAAACAATTCGCCTACAGACAGGGTAGGAGTACTTTAGACGTTGCAGTCGTCTTACACAACAGTATCGTCTCATCATTAGGTAAAGGTGCCAAATACGTCCGCTGCACGTTTCTCGACTTCACTTCTGCTTTCGACTCTGTACCTAGATGTCTCTTGCTAAATAAGCTCTCCATGACACAAACCGAGTCCTGGGTCACCAACTGGTTGCATTCCTAATTCTCTAACAGAATGCAGTATACTGTATACAAAGGAAAATCCTTCTCTGCTGTGCTCACTGAAGCTGGTGTCCCCCAAGGTGCTGTACTTTCCCCACTTCTCTTTTCTTTTTTTCTACATGACCTACCATCTTCAAATGACATTAATTTTGTCAAATATGCTGACGACCTTACTGTATCTTTGCCTGTCAAATGTTAAAGTGACTGCACTAAACTAAACGGCTTTTTATCAGAAGTCAGCCAATGGTCCAAGGAAAACGGTCTCACCTTAAACCCCTCCAAATGCCAAACAGGCACAAATCTGACCTAAACAAACTGGTTAGCATTCACAAGGTGTGCAACATAGATGGCACTGAAATAGTGACCAAATAGGAAATTAAATATCTTGGCGTCATTCTATCTGTTGATCTTTCCTGGTTGTCTCATATCTTGATGATTTCTAAGAAAATATTCCGTCTTACCTTCTACATCAAGAAGTTAAGACATTCTGGAATAACCCAACCTTTACTCTCACATTCTGCCTATTATTCTCTATTGTTCTCCCTTAGTTTTTCCAGGGCTTGCTACTGAAGAAAGACTATACCTTATTATGCAGGATGTTGAAGGTTGTCAGCAGGGTAAGCTACGTGCTACTTAACCAGCTTGTTAATATTCTAGGTGACAGACACATGGACTCATATGAAAAATGGGCAAAATCCATTTTATCTAACTCACACCACCCTCTTCATTCACAACTCTCCCGTTGTATCCCTTCAGGCAAAACCAGAAGCCTATATAGAAAACTATATGCTCGCACTAGTAAGTACAAAAACTCAACCATACCCTCCTTAGCTTGTGTTCTGTGCGATAAAGAAAACATTAGGAGTGATACCTATAACTTATTAAATAGTCAGTAGAACAACTGGATCTCGTCTTTCCAACTCATATCATTTTATAGGTACAACGTTTTTCTTTCTTTCTTTTTCCTTTTCTCTCTCTCTTTTTCTGTTATGTGCAGCTTTGTTTCTTTCTTCTGCTTACGCCAGTAAATATGCTGGAACCTACTTTTCTAGCACCTTCAAACACTCTGTTTAATTATATATACATATATCTTAGAGTCATAGATGACAAACTAATTCAAAGGTAAGTATTTCTTCGCTAAATCCTTTTGCTATTGGATATATCACACAGTATTTTATGTTGGCTGAAGTGTCTAACACAATTTATTGTTCATAATCATATTAAATATAGTGTGGAATCAAGCTGTAAATCAAAAATTAAAAAATTAAATTAGATAAGTTTATTTCAATTTTATGAACTTGTAATCAAACAAATTATCATGAAAATTTTGCCTCTATGGCTACAGCTATTAAGTTAACTAGATATGTCAGTTCGGGAATGTAGTGCTGTAAAGACGACTGCTTACAGCTTGGCACAACCTGTAGAAACCGGAACAGTGTTACAAGACTCACTTAAAAGAAAGTGGGTCATTGGTAATGCGATCGGTCAGGGTGGTTTCGGCCGAATCTACGAAGTTAAACTTGAGGGTGAAAAAGCTTATCATTATGCTGCTAAGATAGAACCCCAAGAAAATGGACCGCTTTTTACTGAAATGCATTTTTACATGCGAGCATGTTCTGAGAATGCAATCAACTCATGGAAGTCGAGTCATTCTCTTAAATACCTTGGCATTCCGAGATATATAAGCAGTAGGTCGATTAATCTAAATAAAACAGCTCTTCGATTCCTTGTGATGGATCGTTTCTCTGGAGATTTCGAATCCACATTAAAGAATCGTGAAATATCTGCATCTGGTATTCTTGAAGTCAGCGCAAATGTGCTAAGTGCACTAGAATATATGCATTCAAGAGACTACGCTCATGCAGATATTAAAGCTTCTAATCTTCTTCATTTATCGTCCAAACAAGAGGTTTATTTAGCTGACTTTGGTCTAGTCCACTTATTTCGTTCAAAAGGTGTACATACTGTTGAGAAACCAGATCCTAAATTTCGACACAATGGAACAATAGAGTTTTGTTCACGAGATGCACATACTGGACTCCCTCCATCTCGTCGTGGAGATTTGGAAATTCTACTGTTCAATCTTATTCATTGGTTGGCTCGATCTCATCTCAATGCTCCTCAGTTACATTCCACTGGTCTTCCTTGGGGATATCTCATTTCAGACCCTAAATTACGGGCGTTGATATGGAGATAGGATAGCGGCACAAATGGCTTACGGAGAGGCTGAGCACTTCAAGGTCACTTATGCACGCTGTGATTGGTAGATTTTCCTTTGCGTAAACGTTGCGGCTAATACGTGCCTTACGTTACTGAAGCGGGCTTTGAAATAGCAATAATAAAAGCGGATAGACATTATATTTTTTAGCTTAAGGGACCAAGTTAACGTGCTTATAAATTTCACAGATGTGAGAAGCATTAGATCCACTTACAAGGAGAATACTACTGGGTAACTTGATCAAAGAAATATAAAGTTTGGGGATTTTATCTCTTTCAGTTAATTGTAACGGATGGATAAGAGTCACGTGTATAATATTTGCTTTTTATAGAAGAGAAAATGTGACAGGTGGTTTGGAATTTACACAATTCCTGAAATATATCGTGGAATATATGGACGAGTAATCTATAGAATTTCACCAACTCGAGTTGGTGAAAGCAAGGAACAACCACAGATCTGTGGTTGTTCCTTGCTTTGTTCACATATTCAGTGTTGCTAAGATTAGGAATTGTTCACCAGAGGTAAGATTAATTTACCTGATATCTATACATCCTCAGAATTCTCTCAGTATGGCTGAAGGCATTCGAAGGAATACAATCTCAATATCTGCTTGAAAAGTTCACATCCAGTTTCTGCGAACGGAACTGGTGGTGATAAAAACTGCAAAGACTGGTCCAGCACCACTAACAACGGAGGCAAACTGACACAGATGTTGCGGATAGAGTGTTTGGTGGACTTTATGACGACAATGATGCAGCTATAAAAACTCTACAACTGCGATTTTTTCACTGGATTGTTATTAACTCTTTTTAGTGTATATATGTACTCTTTTATTCTGAGTCATTTTTAACTTGTTTGATTATTGTTTCCTTACAAATATATGCATTTATGTCGACTAACTTTGTCTCTTTTACTTATCATTTTGAGGATATTGCAGAGCTAACGAGAATGATAGGCAACGTATTAATACTTATGTGAAATGCGTCAGTCTTAAACTATTATTACTTCCTCAATGCGTCATCAAGCCTTGCGTAAAGTGTTTCAGTTGCGTATAAGATTAATATTCAAGATTGTTTCGAAAGTAGCCGTCAAACATGTGCTCGTACTGTAATAACGAAACATAACCCAGCAAACGTAGGTTCTATATGCACACGACTTGTGTTATTAGTCTAGGCACTTCAAGTACACAATGCAACTTATATCCCATTTATCACAAATACTCTGTTATTATTATGCTGCGTTTAACACCACTATCTCAAAGGGTATCATTAGGTAATAAAGAGAAAACTACATTACTCTTCTTGTGTTATCATTTCGTATCAAAAGGCTCTTACATGATCACACCAACACTTAGACTCGTGCATTAGTTGACTACGTCACTAAACTTCGTTGATTATTTTGTTATCATGAAATACTGTGACGCATTAAATAGGCCTTTGTTGTGCATATCGTCTATTTAAGATTTACTAGCGAAAGCAATTACTCAAAAGCGATAACAGTACCCCATCGTGACCGAATTCGACAACGTGTGAGTATACCATTTTACGAATATTACGACTTCTACACTGATATTACTTTGCAACTCGACAAACACTAAATATTAATAGAGCAGAATTTTTAAAACAATATTTATTTCGATAAATACATTAGTAATATCACAAATATTTCATCATTTACACAAATATTATCGTTTTTAATCCCAATTAGAATGTCTAAATGTATTGAGTGATTGCGGGATTGAAGACCATAATCTGGAAATTAAAAATAAAAATTCAGTCAAGATGTGATGAGTTAAATAAATAAACATATAATACAGTGCCTACTAGTTAAATGACCATCTCTACACCGTTATCTGACGAAGTAAGCAACTCAATTTCCGTTATTACTGTGCAATTTGGTAATAATCATGAAAGCATAATTACCTCCATATTTAACCCCAATCTCATCATATACGTAAAATAAACTTCAAAAATTAGAATTATTTAGCATTTTCTATCATAATTGACATTTTCCAATGAATTATTTCATTTCTTATGCACCTCGTGATGTCAATTCGATGAAAAGACAGCATTTCGTCAACACAATGAAAACGATTATTTTCCTCACTTTCTACAGGTTTTTTCGTTAAAATACGATTTTCAAAATGCATTTCTGTCGGAAAAACCACTAAAAACAACGTAGAATAGCCCAAACACAACATCACGATAACGCCTTTTAGGGGTTGAGAGATATTAAGGGTTTGACGTGATATCTCGTTCAACAACTTCTAATTAATTTATTCTCGCGTACCAAAGACAAAGCAAAAGCCAACAATTGATCGTCCAAACGAAGAAATGTATTTACGAACCAAAACCAGCCGTTAGACGAACGCTTAGCTAGCTAGTGATCGTGCACGTGACACGACGAGGTACCAAATGGCGGGGATGCTTGACCGGAAGCCTTCAGCTAAACAAGTCGACTTAAACAGTGGTGGTCAGCATCCAATGAGTGATTGCTGTGGTCAATAATTTTGGGGAATTATTTACCGCTACAGCTCACTCCCCCCCTAGTGGGGTCGTGAGGACCCTAAGACAGAACCAGCCGTTAGACGAACGCTTAGCTAGCTAGTGATCGTGCACGTGACACGACGAGGTACCAAATGGCGGGGATGCTTGACCGGAAGCCTTCAGCTAAACAAGTCGACTTAAACAGTGGTGGTCAGCATCCAATGAGTGATTGCTGTGGTCAATAATTTTGGGGAATTATTTACCGCTACAGCTCACTCCCCCCCTAGTGGGGTCGTGAGGACCCTAAGACAGAACCAGCCGGAAGTAAAAAAAACTCGATGGTTCCCTTTCGGGTGAAAAAAATCTTCCGAGCGGCTTGGTCTTATGCCTACTGGTTTGTCTGCCTATGCTAATGGGGTGTTTGTACATAGCTTCCTGGTGTTGTTAGTTGGATTCCGTGCTTCGTTTGTTTCCCGTCCAGTGCCCGTCGCATCTGGAAAAGAAAACAAGAATGCTAAGAACCATGTCGAGGAAAATGTACGAAATGATCTTTTTGGTTAAAAAAAATTGTGTGCATTTACTATACAGTAAACTTTTGCTAAGTTCAGAACATCGAGAAAAAAAATACATCGAATTAATTTTTTAAGTATGTTACATGAACTGTGGAGAAAAAACAATTTTTTTGTGTTCGGTGGTACTGTATATAAAAAAAACTTATACGTCAAAAAAAAAATAGTACCACAAACGAGTGAGTTGCGTGAATCACACGACTTCGTTAATTCAAATAAGTATGCAAGTGTTCTGGGAACCTTACAGTGCATCCAGAACGGTTTTTCTTAGGAGGCTCAACCTTAGTAGCCAGTGGGCGAATGCCCTTGCAGTCAATAGTGTGACCCAGGAAGTCGAGTGAGTCAACACCAATTTGACACTTATGAATATTATTGGTAACACCATGTTGGCGTAACCTGTCAAATGCCAAGTCCAAGTGCCGAAGGTGAGTTTCCTTGTCTGGACTGGCAATGAGGCAGTCGTCTAAGTATGCGTATACAAAGTCGAGACCGCGAAATACTTCGTCGATGAAGCGTTGGAATGTTTGGGCTGCATTCCGAAGACCGAATGGCATACGTAGAAATTCAAAAAGTCCGAAAGGCGTAATGATAGCCGTTTTCGGGATGTCTTCTGTTGCCATCGGGATTTGGTTATACGCTTTAACCAAGTCGATTTTAGAGAATATAGTCGCGCCGGATAAGGTTGCCGTCAAGTCGTGTATATGAGGCAACGGGTAGCAATCAGGGGTTGTTTTGGCATTCACTCGCCGGTAATCACCGGTGGGTCGCCAATCGTTGCTATCCTTTTTCGGAACCATATGAAGTGGGGATGCCCATGGGCTATTCGAAGATCGAATGATGCCAAGGCTAAGCATATGGTCAAATTCATTCCTGGCGATTCTCAGTTTGTCAGGAGCTAATCGTCGTGCTTTAGATGTCACAGGTTGTCCTGTGGTAATGATGTGGTGCATAACATTGCTGGTTATGCACGGTAGGTCGTTCGACGGGCAGTTAAGTTCCGGATACTTGTCAACGATAGGTTGAAAAGTTGGATCAAGAATTGCCTTTATCTTAACGGGTGACAAGCTAGGGCCTATGTAGGTAATGCCTTTGATAGACAGACTAGTAGTATTGTCAATCAGTCGTTTTCGGCGGACGTCTACGAGTAAATTATGATGATTAAGTAGGTCCGTGCCAATGATGGGCATTGTAACGTCAGCGAGAAGGAAAATCCACCGAATAGGTTTGCGTAAACCTACGTTCAGATAGACGTATTTCCTACCAAAGGTTGCGATTGGTTTTCCATTTGCAGCCTGTAAGTTGAAGGTAGGTTCCTTCTGTCGATCTGCTGCTGTAGCCGGAAGGACGCTGACTTCGGCGCCTGTGTCGACTAAGTATCGAGTCTGGCTTATCACATCATGGATGTAAAGTAGGCGGCTAGTGCCACCGGCGACGGTTGCCGCTAACGCGTGCCGGCGGGATAGTTTCCCGCAGACTTTGAGACATTTCCGAAGTTACAAGGCTTACGGCAACACTTCGCTTCTTGGCCATAGGTGTTGTGGTACCAGCACCAGTTGGGGTTTTTCAGTGAACGTGGTTTGGACTTAGATCGACCACGCGAGTTCCTGCGTTGAGGAGATTTAGGACGACGGTTGGAGGATTTAGAATGCGTGTTTGACCTAAACATCTGCTGAAGGGAGTTGCATAACTCTGTCATTGCAGGATCCTCACTCGAAGTCTGCTTAGTCACTGAGCATACTTCGGGGACAGACCGTTTAGTTATTTCTAGGATCTTATCTGCAGTAATAGCTAAGTCCTCTATTACAGTACCCTCAAGTGTCACAAGTACGGTCTGTACAGATTGTGGCAACTTGGTTAAGAAGAGTTCTCTAAACAGTCCTTCGTCGAACTGACATTGGCCGACGACTTGTTTCATTCTTGTCAGCATGCTCACGGCTGACTGATCTTCTAACTCGATGTTGCGAAATAATTCATCTAGACGTTGTCTATCCGTGAGAGCGTTTCTCCTGAGGAGGGATGCTTTGAGCAACTCGTACGAGTTACTTACCTCGGGACTCAACATCTGTGATGTTACGTACTTGCTGAATTCCCGCGGTAGGGCGTGAATAACTGCAAGTAACTGTGAACGTTGATCAGTTATCCCATGCTCACAAAAATCTGCTTCAGCTAGCAGAAACCACGTTTCAGCATTATCTGGCCAGTATGGTACGAGCTGAATGGTTTTAGGAGTTGAGCGGATACGGATGACCTTGGGACTGAGATCACTCATGACGAAAATTATATCGAATTATATATGGTACAAGAACAAATACAAAATGGAACGAACTCACCGGGGTTATCCAAGGATTTATCGTAGATGAAGTTCGCGGTGGGGCTCACCAGTTTAGGTGTTGAGAGATATTAAGGGTTTGACGTGATATCTCGTTCAACAACTTCTAATTAATTTATTCTCGCGTACCAAAGACAAAGCAATCAGCTGATTTGTGCCTCTATCCCATCCCTATGGCATATCCCCTGTTTGAAGTGGCGCCTCTGGCTTGACCTTGACGGCATTTGCTCGGTTTCGTTGATTTGATTTGGAGCTAGTCGTCCAGGCATACGCAAAAGACGCGATTTCGGTGCTTATTTTGCTTTTGTTGGATGAATTTATATGAAAATTGTTGTTCGATATTGTTCTTGAGCATTCAGTGATTGCTTGTGTGACAGGGCGCTTAAATACATGGTTCATGCAATGATTTTTTGGCATACCAAGTAAGCATCGCTTACATTTCGACGACTGTCATTCGATAAACTTCTTTGCAGCTTGACGGAAACCTGTACTCGATCGCAAATTTCCATGTCACCTATTGTGCAGCAGCTATTACTGTTGCAGGAACCGAATAATATGGTCGATATCGAATTTGTGCATCCTTCTGCACTTTTGCGTGGTGTTTTGATAGCTGAAAGTCAATGGAATGCGTAGATACAAGCGAAAATTAATGTTCCTGAATGGGCAGAAACTTCAATGTTTTACGATCACCTATAACTTTCGCTGTTTTCTGCCAAAGTTTTTAAATGCAACATTTTAGTCATTTGGTGGGTTTGAATACCATTCTCGTGATCAGGTACGTAAAGACATCTTGGGTATATGTCATTTCGCCCCATTATAGAGTTTGGTTTCATAAACTTCCGATTTTTGTTATTGTCCTGGCGCCATATTATATGCGTTTTTTCGAAGTTAATTCTCAAAATTATTGTAAAACCGCGTAGAAGTATTGTCCGACATCTCTTCAATCCATGGACCGAAGGTTTGAAAGTGTTTGCTGTATCCATTTAGGGAGGGCTCGTCGATTTCTGCAAGTAAAGGCTACGCATCATGTTCCTAAATGCCTCCAGAAGCGAATGTAATCTTCAGAAGCTATTAATGGCAAGAACAGGAAACCCAGCTCCTCTATTGCGAAACGTCTTACAGAGACAGGATATAGAAATGACGTTGGTACATTTTTAGACCTATCTGTAAAACGTGTTTGGATCGCATCCTAAAGTTTGTGGAAGCCCAAGTGTGATTAAGAAGTTCAAACCGCCTTTGTGAGTTCCAAAATTATTCGTCATCACACGAAACCTTCTTTGTTAAACTTCGTTTTGATACCAGTCAGGGTAGATGTATTAATGCCTCTGATATTTGGTTTAGTGAGCTTCATTGTTATTTTGGCCTTTAATATGCGATTTTAATTCCACCCAAATTTATGTCTAACCCCCTAACTGTATTAATTTCATATGTATTCCCATGACAAGTCCATGCGTAAGCAGATTGTCCAAAAGAAGTTGCACAAGTACAACACTACACGATTCAGACAAATTACGTCTTATTACTTCGCCTAAATTTCCACTTGTGTCAAAAATAGTGACTGATGTAATCGCGCATTGGTATAAACTTCCATTAATTCTTACTGTGCTCTCGTTAATATTATATTGGTAGTTATATTCATGTATACATCCTGTGAACCATTGTTTTCTTTTTTAGGTAATCTGTAGTTCCAGTGACCTCGTGGGATTCGTTGCTAAAGAAAGCGGTTTTCAGTACCGTTGATTTTGTATTTTGTGTTGAATCACTAACAAATGTATTCTCTATACCCTAGATAAACATTCTACTTGTTAATAGTCACAACTAACTTCATAGAATGTTTTGAGCTACAGAGTTAGGGTCATGCGTTGTATTGGGTAATGAATTTAGAAAAAACGTCCGCCCCTGAGGTATATTGTCGTGAATACGGAGTACATTCTCATTCTCGTGATAAATCTGTTAGCAGTAATTATTATCAGTACCTATATTTCGTAAGGATGGTATATAACAAAACGTACTAATTCAGTAGTCAGAGGTTAGAACTATCGGTTAAAATCGAAACAGGTGCTCATGTAAGGGAAAATTGATTAATTGAAAGTTAAAACATCACGTAAGTGATATAGTTTATAGCATCGTTTACATGCGAATAGTTAAGGTTATTTATTTAGAAATGATGGTAACTTGTTGTTGGTTTAAGCGATCTTTTGTTTGATAGGAAATAGGTGGGACATTATAACTGAAAAACAGTATAACTGGACAAGCAACATCTACTGGCCATTATACACATATTTTGAAGTAAAACACAATCGGGCAGATTATCTCGAAGACAGGAGTAGAGCACTCTTCTGAAACTATTAGTTTAGTGAGTAACTAAATTTGTCTTTGAATTAAGACTGAAAGTAAACGGCATATTGGTAGGCTAAATGATTATCATTATTCGGTTTCGTCAGAATAAGTATCCGACTACTGTTTCACTCATCATTCTGTCCTTTGAATAACTTAGTAACATGGTGTTTACTTTCGGATCCAAATTACTAAGTTAAGGTTAATATCAGGAAGGAGGGTGGCGTTAGCTGATCAGTAGATATGGTGGGGGTCACTAAGGTGAATCGCCCCATTCTGCAGGAACAGCAATATACAAATTAAAGGCTCGAGGTATTTCTGATTTTTATGAGGGCTTAGATCTTTATCTTGAAAAAGATAATAATGAACGCCTTGACAGATCATGCTTCTACCTTTAAATATATACCATTCGCTCAGCCTATTGTTGAGACGCGACCACGCGGGATCTGCACAGATTTATGGGGCATCTTATAAACTAACTTGCTGTCCGTTGTCTGATCTTTAAATACCACTTCACAATGTCTTATCTCATTCATTTTCCAATGACGTCTTTACTTGATCCTCATTATATCCCATTAAACCTAACATTTTACAGCTCTTTATGACTTATTATATTCCTACTCTCTGAAGGGTACGGTTGTACACTAAATGCACAAAAAGGTATAAAACAAAAACAACTGGCACAACTGAGGATAAATGTATTGAAACCAAAAGTGGACATCATGATAGTACGAGATATACGTGTAGCATTATACATTGCAAATGAACGTTGTCAGCCTAGGGAGTTTTCTTTATTAATGCATTTATTAATGATACTTGCACTTACCTATTTCATTACAATTGAATGATTCACCTCAGCACTTTTACTTTTCTAAAACAGCTTTCAATCCCTTGTAAACGTTGTACTTACCTCAATATTGTTGGTTATCGTATGCCGACAACCACGGGATGAAAACGAAACGAAGTCCATTTTCCCGCTCAACCTGGAGGACAATTGTACAATTCAATAACTATACAGCCTAGTTCAGACAATGTGTATTTATATATATATCAAATATTTAACTGTTGAAACATTATTAACTTGTAGACAATGTACGATTTGATATTATATCATACTTGATCGTGCCTGTAAAAATGGCATGCATTTTCATGTAAATTTATATGTTTATATGAGAATATACATTATTATTATTATCCCTAAGGGTTTCTTGATACAAAGATTAACTTGTCGCCAAAGTATGTAAACACGTTCATATCTAGAAAATACTTAGGTTTTTAGTTTTTTACTAACACAACACCGGGTGACTCACCAATTAGTCACAAAGTAAAATTAAATTTGTCAAAGACAGTCTGCTCCTGACTTCTAGATATCGTGAAGGAAGAACTATATTCAAAGGTTAATAGGATTAGACGCAAGATGTCAATTCGAAACTAGGTAACTACGTTTCGCAGCTGCAGAAGACACCACGTTACAATCTATTCCTGTAATCATGTCAATCAATGTGACATCAGTTAAGACTAGAGAAGGAACACAACTGGTGTTCACAAAATACATTTGTGTTCCTCAATATAATGTACATTCCGTAATTATAGGGAAACTAGGAAATGCACCAAGTCATCACATATTCGAACAATAATTGAGCGCACAGGGTAGGGTAGATTTAAAGGAATGCCCACGCGATATGGTTCAGGGCTCATTGAAGTGACACATGCCTACATCTGAAGGTGCGTGTGCAAGGTATCGCATTTCGTCTAGGTGACTCAATGGGTCGCCTCCATATTTAACAAATGCTCAGTCCATGAATTCTACTTGTACCTGTAAAACACAAAGAATACCCTGCTAGCATATGGTGCTGTATTACACTAGAGTCCCTCAGTTTACAGGTAAATCACACTTAATATCAGCATTACCGCTTTTAGTGATATATATATATAAATACACATTGTCTGAACTAGGCTGTATAGTTATTGAATTGTACAATTGTCCTCCAGGTTGAGCGGGAAAATCGACTTCGTTTCGTTTTCATCCCGTGGTTGTAGGCATACGATAATCAACCAATATTGAGGTAAGTACAACGTTTACAAGGAATTGGAAGCTTTTTTAGAAAAATTAAAGTGCTGTGGTGTAACATTAAAGTGTAATAGATTAAGTGAGTGAAATATATCATTAATAAACACATTTATATAGAAAACAGAATGGGGAAGTAATTAATCCTTAGGCCGACAACGTTCATTTGCAATGTATAATGAAACCAATATATTTTATACTATCATGCGTTCACTTTTGGCTTTAATACAATTATTTTCAAGCCAGTTGTCTTTATTTCATGTCTTTTTTTCTATTTGGTACACAACCGTACCCTCCAGAGAATAGGAATAGAATAAGTCGAATCAAATTCATAAAGAGCTATAAAATGTTAGGTTTAATGGAATATAATGAGAATCAAGTAAAGACGTTATTAGAAAATAAGTGAGACAAGATATTTTGAAGTGGTATTTAAAGATCTGACAATGGATAGCAAGTTAATTCATAAGATGCCCCATAAATCTGTGCAGATCCCACGTGGTCGCATCTCAACAATAGGCTGAGCGAATGGTATATATTTAAAGGTAGAAGCGTGATCTGTCAAGGCGTTCACTATTATCTTTTTCAAGATAAAGATCTAAGCCCTCATAAAAATCAGAAATATCTCGAGCCTTTAATTTGTATATTGCTGTTCCTGCAGAATGGGGCGATTCACCTTAGTGACCACCACCATATCTACTGATCAGCTAACGCCACCCTCCCTCCTTTTTTGATGTTAGGCTCTGAGACTATGATTATTATGGCTACCGCAAATATATTGCTTGGTACCAGACATGTTCGTACCCCATATTCCATCTCCCTAGCTTTCTTAATGAGTGCTTCCAATAGGTCTCCACGTACATCTTTACGAACATATTATATATGTGTGCATGCATCCTGATGAACAGATTACTTTATAAGAAGTTAAAACCTTAAAGAGTAAAACGAATAGGTATTGTGAATAGTGGAGCAAGATTTAGCAGAATACTATAGTTAAGGTTCAATTTAGGTAGTATGGACTGAAGGTAAGGTCGGTTGGCAGGACTTAGTGTACTAAATTTTCATGACAGTCTTATATATAGTAAACATCTGACATTGCAAAGTAACGTGTCTAGACATATTATAAAAAGATATTAACACAGAACCAACGAAATTTTGGCGTTTTTTAACAATACTGCAGTGTGTGTATACTGAAGAATTATAGTTAGTCTACAGTTAAAAGTCATTCGACTTTGTCACAGATGCTTTTGGCTGGATTCCTCGGTACCAAGTATTATTCCCTATGAGAGTGCATTGAAGAAACCCTGCAGGGTGATATTGCGGCTTCGCCGAAAATTGAATAGAAGCATTTCACTCATGCAAAATACAGTAAAGAATACAATATTAACTCACCACGCTCAGCCCTACATTACCCTATAAAATCTACTTGTTTGGAAATGAAACATGTACCTATATATTGTGTCATTAATTTCAGATAAACATTAATATCTAAATTTCATACGCCTTCTATCTCACTACTCCATGTAATAATAGTTTGATAGTTATTTACGAACGCAAGAACAAGTATTTCATGGGCCACGAGTAGCACTTGGTATTCCGCAGAGTTATGGGCACTTAGTGAAAGTATTTTGGAGAACTAATACAACAAGGATAGTTTTTTCTAATATATACGCACCTATCAACGCAATGAAAAGATAATGACGAATTGTCATCACAAGCATTGCATTTACTATAGAGGGAATGTTATTACAGGCAAACTTCACAGTAACATATACAAGTCTTGCATGTCATAACATCAGTACTATTAGCACACTAATTGTATTACGGCCAAATGTAAATGATTTCAAGGCTTCATAACAATAACTTTGCGGGAGGTAGATGTATTGAAAGACTGCTTGCAGACACTATGTATGACGACATCTAGTAGAATGTCTACGGAGACTGACAACCTGCAATGAGGAAGACAAAAATGAAAGAATTAGGAGACACATAACGCACAAGATAAGTATTTTTGACATAAGTATAAAACTTGGGCACTGGTAGAGTATATCTCCATTATGGATACGATTTTATTTTGATAAATCACACAGTGTTGTACAGCAGTATTATCTGATGACGTTTCCAACACAAATTATTGTTCATAATCATATCATTGATATGATTATGAGCTACCGTTTGTGAGTTAACGAGTTGACTAAATAGTACACCACTTGCCCTACTGACAACCTTAATACCCTGCACAATACAACATAGTCGTCTTTGAGTAATTCAGGAAAGAATGAGAGGGAGCAGTAAAGACCAATGCAAGAGTTAACAAAATGTAAAAAGAGAGGTTGAATGATTCCTGGCTGTCTTGACTGCACAACGTGGTAAGCTAGACCGAAGGTTTTCTTAGAAATCGACAAGATATAGAATGACCAAGAAAGACCAGAGGATAGAACTACTCCGAGGTACTTTATGTCAGACTTAGTTTCTGTTTAAGTACCCTCTTTGATACAAGCATTTTGTGAATGACACAGTTCTTGTAGTTCACGCTGAGTGAAGGGAAAGTTAACTGCCTGACATTCAGAGGAATTTAACGTAAGACCATGTACCTTAGACTACAGACATGAAGCAGTTAAGTTTGCTGCAGTCACATTGTAACATGACAGGAAAAGAGACGGTCAGACCACCAGTGTATTTGACGAAGTTGCCCTCATTAGAAAGAGAAAAGTCATGTAAAACGAGAGAGGAAAAAGAAAAGGAGAGATAACAATACCCTGAGGAACACCAGCTTCAGCAAGCGAGGCGGGAGATTTACCCTAATATACAGTATGCTGCATTCCATTTGAGAAATGATAATGCAACCAATCAACTGCCCAGGACCCGTGTTTGCACAACCGAAACCTTATTCAAATAAAGTCATCTAGGTCCTGAGCCAATAACAACGGCATATGAGGACTGAAAGCTTAACAAAAAAGTGATAAAGCGCAAAAAACACTTGCAAAGTAGGAGACGAGTCCCAGGTGGAAGAAGAGATTACTGAAAGATATCTGTTTTTCATTTAGCAAAGAACTAGATTAAGAACTACACTTATCATTTGTTGAAATTTTAGAGGTCATTTATCAATGTTTCGCATTTATTTATGCCTAGACTGTGTCATTCTGACTAGCTTTCAGTATTAGTTTGCAGAGAAGTCCACTTGTTTAATTTACCACACTCCGTATAGCACACAAAGGTACAGACTTAAAACTAAAGGGAAGTTTAACGAGAGAAAATACGAGGGAGAATAAATAGCGACAGGGAAAAACATGAGTTGAATAGATACGTGAGGTTACACAGAGTGGATGCATCTATGCCAGTAACAAAGATTTGCAGTCATATCTCTGGTAGTTCTTCCAGTTGACTGTCAACGATTTTATGAACCCATACCAGTTTTTCATTTGACCGACCCAAATACATTTTAAACCTTAACACATGCTGGCTAACATTGCCTCTCTAGGAGGGCGATGGCTTGCTATGCCAGCACATGTTCTAGCCATCTCAACCTATTCAGCTTCCCCTTGAAGACTAATTTACCCTCCCCGCCTAAACATTTGTGCGTAACCTCAACAGCACTCGCTATATTATACTGCTTTACTTATGAGATAGAACTCAGACACCTATAATAAAACACCGGTATCATTTTCATATTTTACAGCATCAGGGGTTACTTCTCATAGTCTAGGTGGACAAAACCATAAGCAAACTGTAAGTTGATGAGACTATTCCTTGATAAGTCTCTAAAGCCAATTACAGACTATCCTAATAGTATATGTGTGATTGAATTGAACTGATATAAGGATGACAGTTTAAGAATTCAGCCTTGTGTTACATCCCACTCGAAAATGTGTTTTCTCGGATAATTCGTAAACAGTAATTACTGAATAGAAAACATTCTGTAGGCTTTATGAAACTCATAAAATGACGGACTACTTTTGCAGGCAATATAGTGTTTCCTCAATAAAGCGAGAATTGGATATTTCGGCTTCATTAAACTAGTAAGTGGTATGCTGGCAGTACCAACGACTACAACAAGTCTGGGAATTGTGCACTACAACTTTAACTTTACTGGATACTCCAGCAGATTTCTAATGAACACTTGACAAATACCAAATTTATAAATGAATTCCGTAAGACTTAGTAAACTAAAAGTACTTTCGGTTTCTATAGGAGTTCTCGGTTCCAAATTTATTCCTTTAAGGGCCTACAGAGATTAAAACTTCAATTAAATGACACTGACCTTGAAGAAATTACATTCTTCATTACTAGACTTAATGAAAAGAATCATGTTTTTTATTCTGAAAACAGGAGCATTCGCAATGTTTCACTTTATGTAAATGCAGTTACATATAGTTTCACTAGGAACTCAGTACAACTTGATGCACAATTGTATATATACAAATAAACTGAAAAATTATGTCCCCCCCCACCTTGTGAACAACTTATCCTTATTCCAGGATAATAACTTCCTTTCACCTATGAGCCTGAGTTATGTCTATGAAATCGCAGTATTACATCAGTTAAATCTTCCCCCAAAACCAAGGCCACTTGCAACCAATGGCAACATAGCAACAAGCGTCACTGAGGGGATATGCAATAAAGTCGCTCCTAAATTACGCGCTAATGTTCCTGATCGTGTTAAAGTGTCAGTGGCTGATTTAAAAGAGAAAACAATGAAAAATCCTGCAGAATTTGTATTACAAGCTGGTTATGGACCAGATGCTGATAAACAGGCATTCATTCAGTCAATCAAACAGTTGGGTTATTCAGATACACCAGATTATGCCTATTTACGTAAACTTTTGCACAGTGCTAAGTCATCGATTGGCAAACAAACTGTTTCATCTAGTCATAATTTAACTGTGGAATCTAATGAAACGGGGGTTATTTCTCCACCAACACTCCGTAAATATAATAAGAAAGATGTATTAAAGTCCAACGATTCACGTGCTTTGAATTCAGTTGAAAATTTAGATCTTACAATTCCATTTCAAAAACACCAGACAGTTTACCAACTAAAAAGCCCAGAGGTCGTCCACCTGGTAGTAGTCCTTCAAAACAATTGGAGAATATATCACCTGTGGGTACTCTTCAAGGGCGGATAAGAATATTTCTAAGGGTTCAACAGTAAACAGTACTAACCACGCTTCTAAACGTAATGCTGTAAAGAGTCTACATGCATCTTCGCCAAATAAAAAATCCACACCAGTTGAATCGACGTCACTTATACCGAAATCCGGTTTACCGAATTCCGGCAGTGGAGATACAAGTCCACCAAGTCAACAGCGTATTAGAACTCGACTTATCGATTTGTTCTCAGACAGTGATGATGATAATGATAGTGATGACTTTTTCGCTAGTCTAAAGAAAAACTCAAGCAGATCTCGTAAAGATGTACTCGAGTCCACTCCTAAACTTGAATCGCCAAAAGCATCACCATCCACACGGAAAAACCATCAACATTTAACAGACAATGCAAGCAAACAATCTCCATTTAAGTCACCACAGTATACCTCGCTAGTTGCTAATCGTAGACGATCTGGTTGGTGCCAAACATCTCCGGAGTTGTTAGATGTTGCCAAGGCAGAGGCATTAGGTCGTAGTGCTGTGAAATTGTCAGAAATGAACTTGAATTTACTTACCTCATATGTATATATATATCACTATGAAAAAAAACTGTACCAAACTGTGGTGATTGCCAATCTCTATCTCTGTATTGTTTAAATACTTACTGTTGATTGTTAATATGGTTCTTATATGAATTGAATAATAATTCCGCTAAATACAAATTCCTGAATTCGACCCTCTCTGTGTTTTGGTTGGATTCGTGTAATTCGGTCATCTTGAAATACTAATACTACGGTTACAAATAATTACAACACAAACCCCTTTCGTATTCAGTGTAATCTTATCATCTGTTTCTCAGTTTTTACCTCATTTAGGCTTCAGATTAAATCGGTATTGTGCACATCATTACCTAAAACTACAGAATCTCTCTTTTTCTTTATGACATTTGTAGATTTTAAGCACCGATTACCTACATTTCCAAAGTTAAATATTGCCTAATTAAGGCAAAATTACACTAACAACTAAAGAAAGGAATTTAGAATTATTTAAAATATTCTGAACCTGGCCAAATACTAGCTTGCTAGGCTACTAGCTTACTAGTTTTCTCGCCGGTCCCAAGCCCGGGTAAAGAGGGAGGGTTGGGGCGTGGTGCTAGCAACTCCACCCCTGTAAAACAACCAAATCGCTACAGAAACTTCAACGAATAAATATATTAAAAATTCTAAAAACATAAGCAATAGCCTTACTTTTCGCTGGAATCGGGGAAGTGAAATGACGCAGGCTGGTGAAAGCCTTCGGGAAGCCGGTCAGCCGATGTGCCTTCTTTCGATGAAAGCAAAAGTAAGGATGGGTACCTGGAATGTTCGCACAATGTACGAAACTGGAAAGGCTGCCTAGATAGCCGCTGAAATGAGAAGGTACAGAATAGAATTGTTGGGAATCTGCGAGAGCAGATGGAACGGAACTGGAAGGTGCCAACTACCTACTGGAGAGACAGTAATCTATTCTGGCCACCTAGAGGACAACCATGAGCACACCGAGGGAGTGGCCATCATGATGTCACCAACAGCAGCCAAAGCTCTCATGCAGCGGGAACCAATCTCCTCCAGGATAATGACAGCCAGGTTCAACTCAAAAGGAAGGAAAGTTACAGTCATTCAATGTTATGCGCCTACAAACGTCTCAGAACAAGAGAAGAAAGAGGCGTTCTACAGACAACTACAAGCAATAATGGACAACGTCCCAAATGGCGATATCAAATTCCTGATGGGCGACATGAATGCGAAGCTGGGAGGAGACAACACAGGAAGACAACTCACCATGGGTCGTGAGGCCCTCGGCGAAATGAACGACACCGGTGAACTCTTCTCAGACTTCTGCGCCTTCAATGACTTGGTGATTGGTGGTAGTGTGTTCAAACACAAGGATATACACAAGACGACATGGATTTCACCAGATGGAAACACCAAGAACCAAATAGGCTTCATCTCGATTTCAAGAAAGTGGAGACGGAGCCTACTGGACACAAGGTCAAGGAGAGGAGCAGATGTGGGTTCAGACCACTATCTAGTAGAAGGGACTTTCAAGGTGAAACTAAAAGCCTCGAGGATAGCTGGGGATAGGCCACAATGCAAGTTCAACACTCAATTACTGAAGGACACAACCACAAAAGACACTTTCACTGCAACTATCAGAGCAAAGCAGGAAACACTACGCGACAGCACTGAAGAATCATGCGTGGAAGAACATTGGAAGTCTCTGAAGGCGATTCTCAACCAAACGTGTTCAACGGTTCTAGGAAGAAAGAAGAGACAAGACAAGGAATGGCTCTCAACGGACACTTGGAAATTAATAGAAGAGAGGAGAATGGTGAAAGAGATAATGATTCAATGCAAGGACGGACAGGAGAAACAGACGATGAGCTCAACTTACAAAGCATTGGACAAAGAAGTGAAGAAAAGTGCTAGGAAGGACAAAAGACAATTCTACGACAATCTAGCTACTGAAGCTGAAAAGGCAGCAGGCAAAAGGGACCTGAGGACACTATATCAGACAACCAAATCTCTATCCGGGAAGAGACCAACACAAGCGAAACCTACAATAGACAGCCAAGGGAAGCCCATTACAAAGGAAGAAAAACAGATTAAACAATGGGCGGATCACTTCAAAGGACTCTTGAACCGACCACCACCTGCAACCCGTCCAGAAATACCAACAACAGCGCACACACAACTGCGAGTTGACAACAATCCTCCAACGAGAGCTGAAGTCTTGAACGCAATCAAACCTCTGAAAGCTGGAAAAACAGCCGGACCAGATGGAATACCCCCTGAGACACTGAAAGCAGACCCAGAGACGACAGCAGACATGCTGACTCACTCCATTATTGCAAAAGGTCTGGAAGGAGGGAAAGGTGCCTACTGACTGGAGGAAAGGTTACCTCGTGAAACTACCAAAGAAGGGAGACTTACGCCTCACTCTGCAAGAACTGGCGAGGAATCATGCTCCTATCGACGCCAAGTAAAATCCTGAGTCGCATCATCCTGGAGAGATTAAAGGGCGCACTGGAGACAGAACTCCGACCAGAACAAGCTGGATTCAGGAAAGGCAAATCATGTTCTGACCAAATTGCAACTCTACGCATCATCATCACAGAACAAAGCATGGAATGGCAATCAATCAAACCTCCACCTCAACTTTATAGACTTTGAGAAGGCCTTCGACAGCGTTGATCGTGAAGTAATTTGGAAATTACTCGAGCACCATGGCGTACCCCAAATATTCATCAACCTTATTCAACAGCTGTACTACAATGGCACCTGCCAAGTGATCCACAACGGAAGACTCAGAGAGGCGTTTGAAATAAACACAGGAGTCAGACAAGGGTGCTTACTATCACCAATGATATTCCTAATTGTGGTGGACTGGATTATGCGTCAGACTGTGGGAAACGAGAAGACAGGAATATCCTGGACCGACGTGAAGAACCTAGATAACATGGATTTCGCGCATGGATGATTTATGTTTGATGTCACACACAATCGAAGACTTGCAAGCGAAAACCGACAAACTGGTCGAATAAGCAGCCAGCGAAGACAGGACTCCAGGTGAACATAGACAAGACAGAGGTTATGAAAATAACCAACCAACAACAGCAACAACATCCGACGTCAATCACCATCAACGGGAGGGATTTGAAAGAGGTTACTTCATTCACTCACTTATCTAGGGAGCATTGTCTCAACTACAGGAGGAGCGGACGAGGATGTCAAATCGAGAATCGGGAAGGCGAGAAACACATTCATCAGCCTGAAATCAATCTGGAAATCTTCGTCACTCAGCATCACCAACAAAATTCGGATTTTCAATACAAACGTCAAGTCAGTTCTTCTATACGGATCAGAAACTTGACGGGCGGGTCACAAAGAATATTTCCAAAAGGCTGCAGACCTTTATTAACAACTGTCTTCGCTGGATCTATACTGAAGATCAGATGGCCGGAAAGAATCACCAACTAGGAATTATGGAAACAAACAAAGCAAGAACCAATCGCCCAACAAATATGCAGGAGAAAGTGGAGATGGATCGGACACTCGCTGAGGAGACCGCTGGGTGACATCGCGCGCCAAGCCCTCGAGTGGAACCCGAAAGGGAAGCGGCGTGTGGGACGTCCAAGGGTGACATGGAGGAGATCGTGTGAAGAGGAGTTGAAAGAATATGGATTAACATGGATGCAGGCGAAAAGTATAGCAGAAGACAGAAGAAAATGGAGACGTGCAGCTGAAGCCCTATGTTCCACTAGGAACCAAAGGGAGCAATAATAATAATCAGTGATTCCTGGGCCGAAAATGGGACGAAGCGTGTCAATGGAGTTGAAGATTGAACGATCAATTCTTGGTTGTTTGCTCAAAATCAACTTCCCCAATTTTCGCGGAGGCATCAATACGACAGTCATCGTCTCATCGGTCGCTGTTCAGAAAGAAGAGTGAAACATCGTCAGAGTAATACAATGATTCGCGGATGATTTATGTTTGATGTCACACACAATCGAAGACTTGCAAGCGAAAACCGACAAACTGGTCGAATAAGCAGCCAGCGAAGACAGGACTCCAGGTGAACATAGACAAGACAGAGGTTATGAAAATAACCAACCAACAACAGCAACAACATCCGACGTCAATCACCATCAACGGGAGGGATTTGAAAGAGGTTACTTCATTCACTCACTTATCTAGGGAGCATTGTCTCAACTACAGGAGGAGCGGACGAGGATGTCAAATCGAGAATCGGGAAGGCGAGAAACACATTCATCAGCCTGAAATCAATCTGGAAATCTTCGTCACTCAGCATCACCAACAAAATTCGGATTTTCAATACAAACGTCAAGTCAGTTCTTCTATACGGATCAGAAACTTGACGGGCGGGTCACAAAGAATATTTCCAAAAGGCTGCAGACCTTTATTAACAACTGTCTTCGCTGGATCTATACTGAAGATCAGATGGCCGGAAAGAATCACCAACTAGGAATTATGGAAACAAACAAAGCAAGAACCAATCGCCCAACAAATATGCAGGAGAAAGTGGAGATGGATCGGACACTCGCTGAGGAGACCGCTGGGTGACATCGCGCGCCAAGCCCTCGAGTGGAACCCGAAAGGGAAGCGGCGTGTGGGACGTCCAAGGGTGACATGGAGGAGATCGTGTGAAGAGGAGTTGAAAGAATATGGATTAACATGGATGCAGGCGAAAAGTATAGCAGAAGACAGAAGAAAATGGAGACGTGCAGCTGAAGCCCTATGTTCCACTAGGAACCAAAGGGAGCAATAATAATAATCAGTGATTCCTGGGCCGAAAATGGGACGAAGCGTGTCAATGGAGTTGAAGATTGAACGATCAATTCTTGGTTGTTTGCTCAAAATCAACTTCCCCAATTTTCGCGGAGGCATCAATACGACAGTCATCGTCTCATCGGTCGCTGTTCAGAAAGAAGAGTGAAACATCGTCAGAGTAATACAATGATTCGCGGATGATTTATGTTTGATGTCAC